TCTATTAATTTCCTTTCAATAATAATAAAAAAAAAATAAAAATAAAAATAAATAAAGCAACCAACTAAAGTACCAATTAATAATCCGTAATAAGCCCTCTCAATGAAGTAGAAGCACTCAAGCAGATTTTGACAAGGCCTTGCCAATACAAACAAGACCGGGACTAATTGCCACATGCGTACTACAAGGAAGATGACTTTCTTCGCTTCCCTTAGCTGCTTTTCCAGTATCCATGTCTTTCGTTGTATTCCATAAATTTCTTATTGTTTCAAAGATTTCTTCAAATGATGGTTCCTTATCGTAATCTTTAGGTGGGTTATCATGCCCAAAGTCAATACTATTATTGTTATTGTTGATATTTTCAGAATTATTGTTTTTGATTTCATTTCTATCAGTAATATGAATCTCCGACCTTCTTTTTTTATTTAAATTTTCATGTGAACCAGAAGATTTATCTTCTTGTTCATTTTCAAGTCCACGTTTCTTGTTTGGAAGAGTTAGTGACATGGATTTATTGGCTATAGGAGGTATGCTTTGGACACTTGCTGGCATAAAGTTATTTGTATTTAATTCTCTTTTGACACCTTTTTTGGCATCCTCAACAAACTCAAAGTATTTGCTAAATTGTGTCATCAAATCATCTGCTTGTTTTAATGAAAACAAGTATTTTCCAGGTAGTGCTTTTAATTGGTCATCGATCATGTATTTCAATACTATAAATTTTTGTGTGCCAGTATGAGATTTAGTATGGTGGTATAAGTAAGGAAGTATTTTGTCAGCATTGTAGAACATTGGTTTTAGTGATTCAAATTTCTCACGAATTTTTGCCTTCTCATTATCACTAAGATTGGTAACTTCATGTGCTATTACTCTTTTTTCACGAGTTTTAGCATCAAGTTCTCTAATTACATCACGAGCAACAGCAAATTCTTCTGTTTTAATAGTGCCATCATTTGATTGGTTGTTATTGTTGGTTTTATTGGTTTTGTTATTATTTTTACTGCCACCGCCACTATTATTATCTATTATCGATGTATTATTAACTTGAGCAACTGATGAAGAAGGTGTTACTAACGATGTAGAAGTATTATGACTTGATTGTTTGACGCTTGGTTGAGTTTGTTGAGGTATGGAAACATTATTTATATTATTATTTGTTGATTGCTGTTGGGGTGGTTGAACAACCGTTCTTTGTCTTTGCGTGTGAATTGGTAAATTAGGAGTAGGAATTATCATTGAACGAGAGTTTAATTGGTTATTTAAGGCTGGTCTGACATATGATGCGGTATGATTTTGTTGGTTTATAAGATTACGAGCAACATTATTATTGGCAACAACAACAGGTGTATTTGTAGAATTCATAGTATTTTGGTTGTTATTATTTGGAGAATGTATAAGATTGGGTCTTCGTATCAGTTGTTGTGGTTGTTGTTGCTGCTGTTGTTGCTGTTGCTGCTGCTGCTGCTGTAGTTTTTGATGGTGTTGAATTAGTTGAGCTTTGGCAAACTGATTTAATTGTTGAGTTATGGGATTATTTATTGTTTGAGAAGGAAATGATGGTGTTGGTTGTGTAGAATTGGCATTAATATTAATAGGATGAGCTAGAGATTGTAAATGAGCCATATTTGCAGGTTTAATATTTTGATTAATTAATTGTATGTGTTGTTGTTGCAATGGTTGTGTTTGTGTTTGTGGTTGTGGTTGTTGTGGAGAGAATTGGGCAGGCGTAGTAGGTATGGGTTTCTGATTGTTAACCACTTGGTTAGAATTAGAAGCCAAATCACTATTATCAAACGTTTTTTCTTTTGCAGCATAGTCTTGTTGGTTCATTGATGTTATTCTTTTTAGAAGTTCATTGATGTTACCAGTGCTCATTGGTGTTGTCATTGTCCTTGTTTTTGTTTTTGTTTTTGTTTTTGATTTGGTTGATTTTATCGTTGTCATTGTTTTTGTCTTTATTCTTGCTATTGTTATTATTATTTTTATTTTTGCCATCGTTGTCATCATCAACAGTGTCGTTTTCTGGATGCTTTAGTTGGTTGCTTTATTTATTTTTATTTTTATTTTTTTTTTATTATTATTGAAAGGAAATTAATAGATAAATATTTGCAATTCTATATATTATAACTTCTTTGATATTTCCTATCATCTGTGCTACAATCAAAGCACTACATCGTTGTTTATTGTTTCATCTGATTGATCAATAAACAAACTTCATTGTGTTGAGTTATTGCTTTATTGAACTTCCATCCTAAATTGATCCATCTTTCTATAGAATGATTTATACTTGTAATATAATTTTGTTTATTATTGTTATTGTTAGAATCCTTATTTATATTATTAATTTTTGTTGTTAGGTCTTCTTTTAATCCTATTATTATCATTTTCCCAATTGACAACATAGTTGGCTGCTTTATTTATTCTGTGTAAATACATATATTTACAAATTTAGTATTATATAATAGAATTTGTTTTTCATTTATCTTTTCACTCTTCTATCTATATTTATATAAATAAAGGGTTGATTAAGTTTGAATGAATTTCTGAATATAAGTATTTAAAATTTGTGAAGTAAACGATTGGCTTTTAATGGTTCGTGAAACAATTCTCCCGTTGATTTCAATTTTATTAAGAATTGGTTGTTTACTTTTTGATATGTATACTTTTTTTACTAAAGCTTGATTTTGGGGCAACACTGGTATGCTAATTGAACTCTTACACAAGGAGATATTGTACAGTTGGAATGACTAATGAATATCGTTCACCACAGACATATACGTAGTGTTTCCAACAGACTAGGCTTGTACAATCTCGTAGAATTATCAATGGCAAGGTAATTATCGTCAAAGTACGTGGTACTGTTGAGCGTATCAATACATTGTGCATTTCATTAAAGTGTGGATGCACTATAAAGTCATTCAACAACTGCCATTGCTATTACTGATGCACCGACCTTCTCAAACACTTACACATCTATCTACACCACCACCAGTCAATTTATGCTTGGCATTCGAAACACTTTCAAGATCAAAAAGGTCCGATAGAAGTCTTTTTCGTGATTAGGGAGATTGTCTGGTCATTAATTATATGGAGAGATGTTTGGGTCCCTTTATTTAATATGTTATCAGATTTTCTCTTATAATAATTTTTTTTTCTATAATATATGTCTTGACGTCTTTATCTAAACAATTTAGTTTTCTTTTTTGTGAAGATGAGCATAGCATTAGAAATGTGTATATATATATATATATTTCGCGCGTGGTTTTTGAATAGTTACTTGAAAAAAAAAATAATGAATATTCTTTGTTTAGTGAACTTTTTATGGCCATGACTATTATTTTATTGTTAATGATTGAAAACTCCAAATACATATATGTTGCTTGCTTCAATTTGTAGAATTCTAATTTTTTAATATTTGATTTATATAAGCCTGACATTTTCCACAAGAGAAAGATATAAACATTATCGTGGTGTTTGTAAGGTCATATCCACGAGGGAGAGAGGGAGAGAGAGACGAATAGTCACGATCATAGGTCAAATAAGTATAGCAGTTTTATCACCTTTGGTGGACTGACACCATATAGCGAGGAAACGGTTTTATTTCATTTAAACTTAATTATCCTTTTTAGACTTGTGGATTATAGATACCTATTTTCCAAAAAGTTCCTTTGAAACTGATTTTATCTTATTTATCTTTAATAAGTAAAGAAACTACAAATATCCTGTATTTACAACTGGAATGGTTACATAATAAGTCTGATATTCAGGATCCGATGAACTTAAATATTAAAAAAAGAAATTAATTATTAATTATTATCACAATTGAAATTGCCACATAATAATAATTTCAGGGTTAAAATTATTATTTAACATCACAATTGCAGTGTTGGCATTTGGCCGAATGGCCAATAAAATAGATACGAAAATTTTTTTGGCTACTAAGGTAATATGATTGTGATATCATTAACTGTTTTATAGTATTTATCTTGTTCACTTTTTTCAATCACGCATTCAACAATGTCCTAATTGGAATGGTCAAGAGTGTAGATTAGGTAAATATTGGGTTTGATTTTTTTTTGTTGGATCATTTAACTTATTGACTATGTAGTGTGGTTAAATTTTGGTTTTTGTGTGAACGCGATCATACAAAAAGAAAAACGTATGAGCAGTACGTGCCAAGTACAAAATCTTTAAAATATTGAAATAATCCACGTTGTACATGAATTTGATAATAACACGCATCAAAATACTCGGGTTTGAGGTTTGGTCATTCTTTGCTTGGATTGATAATTAAAATATTATATTTTTCATCAAGTACAAGCTTAAGTGGTGTGTTGGCACTTGATATTTGAATTGTTTTTGAAGATTGTTGATTTTTTGATAGTGCCAAATTAAATATATTTATAGTTTGTAGTTATAAGTTGTTGACGGATGGATAATTCGAACAAAATGAATAGTTCAACAAATAACGAATAGTTCAAATATGAATAGTTGAAATAATTTTAATAATAAACTAATAACTACGTCTATCTATTCCTATTCAAGCTACTCGCTCAAAATTTTCTTTACCCAATTTAGAAAAATTTTTGTATGAAAAAATAATTTAGATCAAGTAAAAAAAAAAAAGCGAATATTGCATTCCTTGTTTAATACATGCATACATATATAGGACGTTTTTCAAGTAGAGACGATTTAAAAAATCATTAAACTCATCAATTTCTCTAATATTTACAATTTCAAACTTCTAATATATCCATATTTACAAAAAAGAAAATAATAAACTATTCAATAATAATTGTCTACCTGATATGTTGATTTCATTGTCATGTCCAAGTTTGCAAACAATCTTGCCGTTTTCATTATTTCCTTGTGATTAAATTGATATTGATATTAAACCAATTTTTCTATTTATCTTCACAAAATTCAATTGGTTTCACTCTTTTTCAAAAACTTACTTCATTCACGTTTGCATTTCTAAGCATTGTCTAAAGAAAGTGAATAATAAATTCTGTCAAATTTCGAGTTCTCTAAAATATTCATATGAATTTTAAGTTTACCTTTACAACACCACGAACACTCCCAAAAGCATTTTGAGCTTTATCATTTAATTCTGTTTTTTTCATTATTATTAATTTTCATTAATTTTCAGGAACTGTGTCTCAATTTGGAAATTACTTAATGAAAATTTTTTTATTGTTTCCATTTAATTTGTATTTACTAACCAAAATCAATATTAAAAAAAAATTTCCCTAAAAAACCAATACAACAAAGGTTAAATAATATAATTTCGAAAATGTCTTCATTTAACAACAATAATAATAACAATAATAACCTTAATAATCTTAATAACCTCAACAACCTCAACAACCTCAACAATCTTAACAACCTCAACAACCTCAACAACCTTAATAACCTTAACATTAATGGCAACAACAATCACAATTGGCGCCAATCTTTGAAGGAGGGAGAGCGTAGACAAAGTCTTATGCGTTTCTTAAAAGCTTGGGAAATTTTTAGTAATATTAAAGCAACTTCTGACCAACGTTTAATAGAAGTAGCCAGGAAGTGGGAAAGTGAAGCTTATGATAATGCTACTTCTAAAGAAGATTACGATCGCTTAACCAGTGAAAGACTGGCAAATATACGCAAACAACTTCAAGAAAAACAGCAGCAGCAGCTACAACAACAACAGCAGAAACAGCAGCAGCAGCAACAACAACAACAGCAGCAGCAGCAGCAGCAGCAGCAGCAGCAGCAGCAGCAGCAGCAGCAGCAGCAGCAGCAACAACAACAGCAACAGCAACAACAACAGCAACAGCAGCAGCAACAGCAACAACAACCGCAAACTAATTTACAATTAAATCAGCAACAATTACAAATCTTGCAGCGACAAATAATCCAGCAACAATTATTGCAAAACCCACAATTACTATCACAGCAACAACAATTATTACAACAAAATCAAAATCCACAATTACAACTACCGCAGCAACAAAATTTAATCAATGCTCAACTTCTTCAGCAACAAAAAATTGCTCAAATTCAATCACAATCAGTTCGTCCAACTGCAGAACAATTACAACAATTACAACAATTACAACAATTACAACGATATAAAAATCAACAAATGCTTCAATTTATACATACAGCTCAACAAAGACCAGAGTCATTGAACCCACAACAATTGCAGTATTATCAACAATTATTAAAAGCTCATCCTTCAATACTACAAATACAAAGACCACCTACTACTGCTGCTGCGGCTGCTACTGCCCAACTACTTATTCGTCCTCAACTAGGACATCCGTCACTGCAGCAACAAAATGTTTCTCCTCAACTTGTTCAACAATCTCCAAATCCTAAACAAATACCAAATCAACAACAGCAGCAGCAGCAGCAGCAGCAGCAGCAACAGCTTAATAAAATGGTAAATAATACTCCCTCTGGTCAAAATAATAATAACAATGACAATGATGCTACTACGAGCACTGGTAACATCAATGAACTTCTAAAAAGAATAACATCAATGAACCAACAAGACTATGCTGCAAAAGAAAAAACGTTTGATAATAGTGATTTGGCTTCTAATTCTAACCAAGTGGTTAACAATCAGAAACCCATACCTACTACGCCTGCCCAATTCTCTCCACAACAACCACAACCACAAACACAAACACAACCATTGCAACAACAACACATACAATTAATTAATCAAAATATTAAACCTGCAAATATGGCTCATTTACAATCTCTAGCTCATCCTATTAATATTAATGCCAATTCTACACAACCAACACCATCATTTCCTTCTCAAACAATAAATAATCCCATAACTCAACAATTAAATCAGTTTGCCAAAGCTCAACTAATTCAACACCATCAAAAACTACAGCAGCAGCAGCAGCAACAGCAACAACAGCAGCAACAACAACCACAACAACTGATACGAAGACCCAATCTTATACATTCTCCAAATAATAACAACCAAAATACTATGAATTCTACAAATACACCTGTTGTTGTTGCCAATAATAATGTTGCTCGTAATCTTATAAACCAACAAAATCATACCGCATCATATGTCAGACCAGCCTTAAATAACCAATTAAACTCTCGTTCAATGATAATTCCTACTCCTAATTTACCAATTCACACGCAAAGACAAAGAACGGTTGTTCAACCACCCCAACAGCAATCAACAAATAATAATATAAATAATGTTTCCATACCTCAACAAACTCAACCAAGCGTCAAACAATCAAGTCATAATACTTCTACATCGTTAGTAACACCTTCTTCATCAGTTGCTCAAGTTAATAATACATCGATAATAGATAATAATAGTGGCGGTGGCAGTAAAAATAATAACAAAACCAATAAAACCAACAATAACAACCAATCAAATGATGGCACTATTAAAACAGAAGAATTTGCTGTTGCTCGTGATGTAATTAGAGAACTTGATGCTAAAACTCGTGAAAAAAGAGTAATAGCACATGAAGTTACCAATCTTAGTGATAATGAGAAGGCAAAAATTCGTGAGAAATTTGAATCACTAAAACCAATGTTCTACAATGCTGACAAAATACTTCCTTACTTATACCACCATACTAAATCTCATACTGGCACACAAAAATTTATAGTATTGAAATACATGATCGATGACCAATTAAAAGCACTACCTGGAAAATACTTGTTTTCATTAAAACAAGCAGATGATTTGATGACACAATTTAGCAAATACTTTGAGTTTGTTGAGGATGCCAAAAAAGGTGTCAAAAGAGAATTAAATACAAATAACTTTATGCCAGCAAGTGTCCAAAGCATACCTCCTATAGCCAATAAATCCATGTCACTAACTCTTCCAAACAAGAAACGTGGACTTGAAAATGAACAAGAAGATAAATCTTCTGGTTCACATGAAAATTTAAATAAAAAAAGAAGGTCGGAGATTCATATTACTGATAGAAATGAAATCAAAAACAATAATTCTGAAAATATCAACAATAACAATAATAGTATTGACTTTGGGCATGATAACCCACCTAAAGATTACGATAAGGAACCATCATTTGAAGAAATCTTTGAAACAATAAGAAATTTATGGAATACAACGAAAGACATGGATACTGGAAAAGCAGCTAAGGGAAGCGAAGAAAGTCATCTTCCTTGTAGTACGCATGTGGCAATTAGTCCCGGTCTTGTTTGTATTGGCAAGGCCTTGTCAAAATCTGCTTGAGTGCTTCTACTTCATTGAGAGGGCTTATTACGGATTATTAATTGGTACTTTAGTTGGTTGCTTTATTTATTTTTATTTTTATTTTTTTTTTATTATTATTGAAAGGAAATTAATAGATAAATATTTGCAATTCTATATATTATAACTTCTTTGATATTTCCTATCATCTGTGCTACAATCAAAGCACTACATCGTTGTTTATTGTTTCATCTGATTGATCAATAAACAAACTTCATTGTGTTGAGTTATTGCTTTATTGAACTTCCATCCTAAATTGATCCATCTTTCTATAGAATGATTTATACTTGTAATATAATTTTGTTTATTATTGTTATTGTTAGAATCCTTATTTATATTATTAATTTTTGTTGTTAGGTCTTCTTTTAATCCTATTATTATCATTTTCCCAATTGACAACATAGTTGGCTGCTTTATTTATTCTGTGTAAATACATATATTTACAAATTTAGTATTATATAATAGAATTTGTTTTTCATTTATCTTTTCACTCTTCTATCTATATTTATATAAATAAAGGGTTGATTAAGTTTGAATGAATTTCTGAATATAAGTATTTAAAATTTGTGAAGTAAACGATTGGCTTTTAATGGTTCGTGAAACAATTCTCCCGTTGATTTCAATTTTATTAAGAATTGGTTGTTTACTTTTTGATATGTATACTTTTTTTACTAAAGCTTGATTTTGGGGCAACACTGGTATGCTAATTGAACTCTTACACAAGGAGATATTGTACAGTTGGAATGACTAATGAATATCGTTCACCACAGACATATACGTAGTGTTTCCAACAGACTAGGCTTGTACAATCTCGTAGAATTATCAATGGCAAGGTAATTATCGTCAAAGTACGTGGTACTGTTGAGCGTATCAATACATTGTGCATTTCATTAAAGTGTGGATGCACTATAAAGTCATTCAACAACTGCCATTGCTATTACTGATGCACCGACCTTCTCAAACACTTACACATCTATCTACACCACCACCAGTCAATTTATGCTTGGCATTCGAAACACTTTCAAGATCAAAAAGGTCCGATAGAAGTCTTTTTCGTGATTAGGGAGATTGTCTGGTCATTAATTATATGGAGAGATGTTTGGGTCCCTTTATTTAATATGTTATCAGATTTTCTCTTATAATAATTTTTTTTTCTATAATATATGTCTTGACGTCTTTATCTAAACAATTTAGTTTTCTTTTTTGTGAAGATGAGCATAGCATTAGAAATGTGTATATATATATATATATTTCGCGCGTGGTTTTTGAATAGTTACTTGAAAAAAAAAATAATGAATATTCTTTGTTTAGTGAACTTTTTATGGCCATGACTATTATTTTATTGTTAATGATTGAAAACTCCAAATACATATATGTTGCTTGCTTCAATTTGTAGAATTCTAATTTTTTAATATTTGATTTATATAAGCCTGACATTTTCCACAAGAGAAAGATATAAACATTATCGTGGTGTTTGTAAGGTCATATCCACGAGGGAGAGAGGGAGAGAGAGACGAATAGTCACGATCATAGGTCAAATAAGTATAGCAGTTTTATCACCTTTGGTGGACTGACACCATATAGCGAGGAAACGGTTTTATTTCATTTAAACTTAATTATCCTTTTTAGACTTGTGGATTATAGATACCTATTTTCCAAAAAGTTCCTTTGAAACTGATTTTATCTTATTTATCTTTAATAAGTAAAGAAACTACAAATATCCTGTATTTACAACTGGAATGGTTACATAATAAGTCTGATATTCAGGATCCGATGAACTTAAATATTAAAAAAAGAAATTAATTATTAATTATTATCACAATTGAAATTGCCACATAATAATAATTTCAGGGTTAAAATTATTATTTAACATCACAATTGCAGTGTTGGCATTTGGCCGAATGGCCAATAAAATAGATACGAAAATTTTTTTGGCTACTAAGGTAATATGATTGTGATATCATTAACTGTTTTATAGTATTTATCTTGTTCACTTTTTTCAATCACGCATTCAACAATGTCCTAATTGGAATGGTCAAGAGTGTAGATTAGGTAAATATTGGGTTTGATTTTTTTTTGTTGGATCATTTAACTTATTGACTATGTAGTGTGGTTAAATTTTGGTTTTTGTGTGAACGCGATCATACAAAAAGAAAAACGTATGAGCAGTACGTGCCAAGTACAAAATCTTTAAAATATTGAAATAATCCACGTTGTACATGAATTTGATAATAACACGCATCAAAATACTCGGGTTTGAGGTTTGGTCATTCTTTGCTTGGATTGATAATTAAAATATTATATTTTTCATCAAGTACAAGCTTAAGTGGTGTGTTGGCACTTGATATTTGAATTGTTTTTGAAGATTGTTGATTTTTTGATAGTGCCAAATTAAATATATTTATAGTTTGTAGTTATAAGTTGTTGACGGATGGATAATTCGAACAAAATGAATAGTTCAACAAATAACGAATAGTTCAAATATGAATAGTTGAAATAATTTTAATAATAAACTAATAACTACGTCTATCTATTCCTATTCAAGCTACTCGCTCAAAATTTTCTTTACCCAATTTAGAAAAATTTTTGTATGAAAAAATAATTTAGATCAAGTAAAAAAAAAAAAGCGAATATTGCATTCCTTGTTTAATACATGCATACATATATAGGACGTTTTTCAAGTAGAGACGATTTAAAAAATCATTAAACTCATCAATTTCTCTAATATTTACAATTTCAAACTTCTAGAAATTATATAATGAGTAGTAGACTTGAAGGCAAAAATGTATTCATGTAATTGTATCAACCAATCATTCAGTAAATAAATGAATCGATCATTCAATGAATCAATCATTTAGCCATTTAATCATGATGATTTTTTTTTAGAACCGGAGCCTCTGCAGGTATTGGCGAAGCATGTGCCAGAGAATTTGCTAAAGCAGGGTCGAATTTGGTTTGATACTTATCTATCTACCCTCCTTAAAAAAATATGATAATTGTTGCTATGATTTGTTGTTTTAATATTCAAGTTTATTTATAGATATTGACTGCAAGAAGAATTGAACGGCTTGATCAACTTAAAGATGAACTTTTGAAAAAACATCCTACAATAAAAATCTATACACATCATTTAAATGTTTGTGAGAAATCGAATGTAGATCAATTAGTTAGTTCATTACCAGCAGATTTTAAAGATATTGATGTGTTGATTAATAACGCAGGTTTCTTATATTAAAAAATTTGTTGATTCTAAAATCCTAAATAAATTCTTTAGTTCTAAATACCAACCAACAACTAAACCAATTATCTA